GGCAGAGGGCCAGTAGTTCATCTGCTACATCCTCTAGCTCCTTGGTATGATTTTTGGCTCATTAGCTTAAGTAGATCATTTGGGTAAATCAGTTGGATGAAAGAACTTTCTTACATTAGTCCAGAAGTGCAGCAGGCAGGATTTGCAGTGCCGGACACTGATCCCTTATGACTGGCATATCAAGTCATTGCAATGTCAAAAAAAATGTGTGACATCAGTGACACCAGGATTTCAGCTGTGGCCATGAGAAATGCGTGTACCATTCAGTATGGAGCTGTAGTTTCCCTTTCTGCAGTCCACTATATTTAGACACTTCAGAGTATTCACCTGTGTACTTTGTAGTGAGGCACTTTGCATAGGGCATGGGCTGATGGTCTAAAAGGAGGGTCAGGATGTATCTAGGAGAAAATAGCACAGAAATTTAGGTGTCAGAAGCAGCTACCTGAACATTAAGTCAAGCTACTTGTTTAGCTTCACATCTAACACACAAAGCTGTCAGCCAAGGATGGGTTATCATTTGCCAAGGTGAACAAGTTTGTTTGGTTTAAAAATGCGTTAATTCAGAGATATTTACTTGAGAGTTGGATATTCTCTGCCATAGTAAGATTATTCTTTTTTATGTACTACCTACTACTCTTCCATGCTTTTTAAAAAAGTTTTGATTTGAAAAAAATATGTTTTACTCTCTGAGATTTTTTCAGTTACAAACTCTAGGTGTACAAAGTCTTTGTGTACAAAGACTCCGGAAAACATTTTTCCTGTAACATTAATCCTGGAAGATCATTTCAAATGGAAGCTTTTTCTGCCATCCTAACATAGTCTTAACTTCGCCTGCTAACCTGGTCTTGTACATGCTTGAAAACTAAAAAAATCCTCAAGGGATGGTTTCCATCTGCATGTTTCCTACAGTGAAAATTATTGTGTTTTAATGCTAAGCTCAGGGCTCAGTTCTCAGTTTAGAAACATGACCATCTACTGCTAATTAAGCAAAGTTAAATGGTTTCCAGATCCTTAAGACCTTCAGGAAGTTTTTGAATGCTCTTTAACCACCATGAGCACAAGTCTTTGTCACCACCTAGTGTCTGCTGCACAAAGGGTCTAAGGATTACTTTGCATTTGCTCTCAGCCAGAAATTTAGTTCTACAAATATTTTTCCCCAGCAGCAAGGCTGGTTTTTGTTTCCCTTCAGCTTCCCAGCCACTCAGGTTTTTATCACTGTGATTGCTTGTGGGTTGCATTGATAACGTACTGGGGTTAAGCTGACCCTCTTTGTTTCTTTCCTCACTCCGCAATGAAAGTGTGATTTTTGCTTTATGTGTAATGATCACAATGACCAAACATTCCATCTCTGCTGTGGGCCCAGGGTGACATAAACCAGACGCTGCTGTGAGGGCTCCAGGCTTCCCACCAGTTTCAGAAGAGCCAAAAGCCCAAACTATGCTGAATATTTGCCTAACGCCTCTGTCTCCCCTTTTTGTACATTGTTTTTTCCCCTGACAGTATGGGATGTCCCATTTACCTTTCACCAGGTGCAAAGGGATCCTCTGGCAGGTGCTGGCCATTGTGCCCCTGTATCTGGAGAGTTTGTGGCAGGCAGGATGCAGTGACCGTGCGCGGTGTGTGCCCGCAGGTGAGTGAGATGGAGGTGAACGGCCAGTTCGAGTCCGTGTGCGAGTCGGTGTTCAGCGAGCTGGAGTCCCAGGCGGTGGAGGCGCTGGATCTGCCCATGCCAGGCTGCTTCCGCATGAGGAGCCACAGCTATGTCAGAGCCATCGAGAAGGGCTGCTCCCAGGACGACGAGTGCATATCCCTGCGCTCCTCATCTCCCCCGCGCACCACCACCACGGTCAGGACCATCCAGAGCAGTACTGGTGAGTAACACCAAGGGAATCCAGAGGGGAGGCACAAAGGGAAGGTATTTGGAGTGCTTTTCCATCACATCAAGCTTTTCTCTGCCAGACTCCAAGCCCGTAAGAGAGTCTGTGTTTCACCAGGGAGCTGGACAGACTAATCAGCCTCAAACCACACACAGACATAGGCTGATGCACTTGTGGTTCCTTCTGTGTCCAAGCTAATTCATTCTGAGCTAAAAGCACATAGAAGGGAAGTCCAAGGTCGTGTCTCCTCTCGCTATCCTCCCCAAAAGAGCAATCACAATTTGGCAAGGCTGAACAAGAAGGCGCTGGGTTAGCAGCTCTGCTGGCTGTGACCAGCAGAGAAGGGCCCCTTTGATGAGGTCTTACTCAAAGTTGAAGTGATTGTATAAGTTACTGGATGTGGTTTTTACTGGCTCGAAGAGACTGTTCCAGCTCTCTAGGCTCCATCTAAGATGTGAGAATGAAGAAAGGAAGAAGCAGTCTGCAGGTCAAAACGTGCATGTCCACATTTTGCTGTTACATTCTTTCTGCAGTTCAAACTGTTCAAGCCTTGCTAGAAGGAGAGGTTTCGGTGTAAACATGAGACTAAAAAGCCTTCCTTTTAATGTTTCAGGTTGCTTTTCTTTTGGAAATAACCATGATGAATTTCAGATTTTGTCACCAAATAGTGCTTAAGGGGAAGAAAAACCAAATAAAACCAAATTCTAAATCTGCCTCTCTCATTCAAGAAAGCAAGAGGCAGGAGCCATTACATGTGTGTGCTCTTCCCTGTGGCAGAATGAGAGAGAGCCTCTTTCTTTTGACTTCTGTGCAGCCATTCCACTGTTTTACACAAGCTTCATTTAATATTCATATGCTGTTCGTATACTAATCATATTCTTGACTAATACTGGCTATTATATGTATTTCAGTGTACCTACTATCTCTTTTGCTGTATTTTTTCATTTGTTTTCTGTAAACTTTTGTCCTTTTGTGTGTTATCTCACAGGTGCAGTTGTTTATTCCTTGTAAGTCTTTTTTAAAGCTGCTTGTCAATTGTTTTATGTCATCAAAGAACACTTTAAATCCTTTTATCAAAAATGTTCAGCTAAATTAAAGATTTTTCTAAAAGTAGCAAGTTTAAGTACTGTTGTAAATATATTGGCAGTGCATCACAAACATCAAAGGGTTTTTAACAAATGCTGCAGAGCAATTCTCATCTAAATCACTAAAGAAATAGTATTCACATGACAGCATTTCTGCTATAGAAACAGCACTTGTAAGCACACACGGTTTGCACCAAACCACAAAGAAAGGATTTGCATAAGGTGTGTGCTACTTCATTGTGTGGTATTAGTTTGTGTCAAACGTATTCTGAGGCAAAAGCTGAAGGATGGAAGTTTCCAGGGATTTTCTAAATGTGCAGTCATCTTTGTTAGATGAGCTTGGGTGGACCCCAAAGAGGGTTTTCTATTCTGTGAGAATGGCTTTGACAACACTTTTCCTTTATAAAAATAACTGTGATCATTAATACAGAAGAGAATAACTATTTTTTTTTTCATTATTTGTATGTAAGAGGTTGTTCCTGTCACTTAGGAAAGTGATGCCTGTGTCTGGAGATAATGGTGTATAAATGGAGAAGGTTGGCTCCATGTGCTAGCCAAAAACACTGGAAAATATGAAAGAGGAAAATCTGTACTGTAAACTATCTCTTGTTTAAGGTCCCCTTTTTGTAGTGCAACCATAGAGGCCTGATCTCTTCTCTGGGTAGCTGGCTTCATTTAAAAAAATCGTATGAACAAAACTGTGATATTGAAAAGCATAGTCCAATGAGGATGTCTTGGGTTATTGCTTCTGTATTCAAGCTGTTAAAAGCAGAGAGGAGTGATTTGCAGTGCTCTCTTTGGATATACATAGAAACATTTAAAGATTGCTGTAGATGCCTATTTTCTGCTGTGGGAATTTTACTGAGTTATCTTTTTCATTTTTTGATTCTTGGGCTCCAAGGGCCCATCCCTTCCACTGGTAACATTTCAGACAACTTGTTTCTTTTAGTACCTGACTTACATACCACAGTCTGTTTAATTGGGATTAGAATTGAATTAATTCTATTCAAAAGCATCTCTATTGACTACCTTGGTGTTGCCTGTGCCTGGCTCACAGAAGAGAAATATGAAAGGCAATGTTGATCGTTTCTATAAATATCTGCTTCAATAAAATGGGAAATTGCAAAACAACTAGGCAGACATGAAGAAAGGAGAACAGTATCTCAGGTTTATCTCCACTGAGGTGATGTTGCAAATGCTTTTGTGGGAGATATGGGAGTAGTTATGATCTAAAAATGGTTTTAACATCCCCAAATGTGAGAACAGTCCTCCTGCCCCTAAAGCATCTCTGCCTGTTCAACCAAGAAAGATTCCTTATATCAACATTAGTAATTCCCTCAAGAAACATGGCTTTTAAGCCATGAATACCAAAACTGTCATCATACAATGATATTGAGAATATCTTTGGCAGCTGGAAGTCCAGGAAAATGCCAGCTTGATGGTGGAAAAGACAGGAGAGCTGTCGGTTTACTGGATTCAAAATTGCTCCTGTAGAGCAATGATCCACTGCTTTCCAGGGCATCTGGATAAAGCAAAAACTGTGGACAAAAATCACATTTTGCCTGCTAGCCCTTGCTGTTGTGGTGGCAGCCTCAGGTTTTCATTTCCTTTTGCCTCATAGTGTTGGTGGTTTAGTTCTGCAATCAGGAATTGCACCTCCAGCTCAGCTCCTGAGGATGTGCCCAGTCTAACTACAAATCTGTGCACTGGCTGTGGCACCGAGCTCAGCTGAGGGTGGCTGCCCACCTGGTGGCCTCTGCAGCCTGCACTGACCCTGGCAGTGCTGTGGGAGCACTGAGGGGTGGCTGCAGCTGGATGTAACTGAGCACAAGTGTAAAAATGGAGGTGGAGGCACAAACCTGATAAATAGAGAGGCAAATCCTAACCTCACCAAAGTCTGCCACTGAAGTTCCTCCTAAAGTCCAACTTAAACCTTCCCTGGCACAGCTTAGGACTAAGTCCTCTCATCCTGTTGCTGTTTGTCTAGGAGAAGAGGTCAATCCCCATGTGTGAGTCAACACATGCAGGTAACAATGGCAACCACCAAACCACAGCTGAAATGCAAAGAGTAGAGCTATTTCATTGCCTCACCAACACTGCTGGGCAGCAGACACACACTGAGACACAGGCTCTGCTGGGCTTAGTTCATCCCAGTGAAAAGAGACACACAGGCTCCATTAGGCTCAGTTCATCCTAGTGCACAGTGATGAGGGGACCCACTGCCTGCCTCAGATATCAAAGGGCTTTGCACACATGCAATTTATCACAAGGCTGTACTTCTATGATATCTCACTTCCAGCAGAAGGCTCAAGCCTGTCTGTGAGTGTGTTATCTCTACATAGGAATTCTACTTCTCAAAACCAGCAGAGGATGAACAATACTAGGCATAATAAATGGATACTCTTTCCCACTCTGACATTCTTAGCATTCCCAGCTGCAAGGTCACTTTGAGCAAAAACTGTTCCCTCCTTGCCAAATCTTCCAGTTTTAACCCTTTCCTCCCAACACCCCACGTGGCTACAAACTCTATTTATCCTTGTTTTTAAATGAAGGGTTTTGGAATGGGAAGGAGAAAATGCAATCTTGGCACTTTATATGGAATTATAAATAAGTTCTATGTCACAGCTGTGTCATGCCTTGAAAGCTAATCAGTTGAAAAGCTCCATTCACCCTCATATTTGCTCTCTCAGTATTAGTGGTACCCAGCATCCTGGCTGGGGCCATCCCTGGGAGCAGGGCTGTGCAGGCTGGGAGGCAGAGCAGCTCTGAAGTGCTAACATATGTTATACACCATAGGCTGCAGTAAAAATTAACACCCAGGTCATTTGATCTCTTCAGAGGAGTTTAATGAGCTGTGAGTTATTACATAATTTGATCCCAGGTTATTTGCAGATGCAACTATTGTAGCTGAAGCACTTCAGCCAACAAATCCAGTCACTAAATAAGCAGCCTTTAAACAATTTTAAATCTGTGAATCATTTCAATGGGCTCGAAGAATGCAGTAATTACGAAACAATGAAATGTTAAAGTAGTCTAAAGAACATCTTTCTCCCACATTTATTGTGTCTATGTTTCTAAACTTTCCCTATGTAGCCATGCATGATCCTTTGCTATAAACAAACCTTATGACATTGTGAGGGCTCAGGCATGAGCACACATGCATACAAATATTTAATATAGTATAATATTCAAATATGTAACGACATCTCTCTAACAGAGCTCAAGTAATAATATCAGGAAAAATTTTGCACTAGATTGCAATTCAGTACCTATCCTCTGTAGAGTTATACAATGAAGAGTTATAGAGTGTATAACTGTAGAGTTACAGAGTGAAGAGAAATATCAGTTATCTGCGGCAATGCCATCTGGTGATTCTTAGTGATATTACACTTCTGCTTAAAAGCAAAATAAATAAAAATCCCAAGGAAATCATGCTGTGTAGCCAGCAGGTTAGAGAGGGACAGAGAGTTACCACAGTAAGTGCTAATTGCAGTCTTTCAGCTGAGCAATTTTCCTTCCGTTCATAGGAACATCTGATCAAGACAAGTCAGGTATTTTGTGGAAAATCTCTAAGGGGCTGCCTAGCCAATTAAAAATAAATAAATAAATAAATAAGCATATAAAATGCAAACAAGTCTAAAAACTGACTTGTGCCAGGCAGAATTCAAAAATAAAATCAAATCCTGTGGATAAGGAAGCTGTAACTGAGTGTATGCCAGATGCAAGTCATTTGGATTCCTCAGAGATGTCCTTTCAGAAACTGCTCTGTTCAAAAGGAAACAGGGTATTAGGATTTCACATGTAATTTCCACCTGAAGCTAAAGTTGCTTTCTGTACCAAAATAAAGGTATTTCCACGGAAAATCTGAAGAAATATAACTGCACTAAGGCCTTCAGGCAGATGTTGAAA